AGGCCTCATATAAGTAAACAGTGTTGTAAAACAATGACATAAAGGACATCTACACTTGAATAGCAGTCATAGTAAACACCACTGTTAAACTTCAATTTGGTTTGCTCAACAAACATATTTTTTTATTTGCATTATTTTAGGTTTGTAACAAAACAAGGAAACCTAGTGTAAGTTGGAAATATAAATCGAACTTGGATTTTTGTTTTACTAAAAAATACGAATACTCAAAGAATTCAAATCTGAACAATAAGAAATGGGGACTTCTTTGAAGTGAAATTAGGTACTATAAATAGACACTCAGCAAAGACAGTTTCTACACACTTACATTTTTTAAACAGGAAAAATAATCTATTCTTATACCAATCTATTACAGTAAGAATCAAAGATTGACTAATTTACACACACAAACATATATACATAAATACATACATATGCACATTATGTTCTTAGCTTCTAAGAGTACCCATCATACTCACATATATAGAGGTTATAGTTAATTGAAACAGAGTTTCAAATAGGCTAAAGCTAACAGTCATTAATTTCATAATGACTGAGCACCTCCTATATGCCAGGCATTGTTCTAAATGATAGGAAAATAGCAATAAACAAAATAGATGAAAAAAATTCTGCTTATGTGGAGCCTATATTTTAGTAGGGTGGAAGAAAGACAACAAATACAAACACAGGAAAATGTATAGTTTGTCACAAAATGATGAATGCTACGGAGAGAGTACAGAAATGTTGGTAGGAGGGAGGGAGGGGTACAACTTTAAATTCTGTAAGCCTCAATAAGTAAAAACTGTAGGCCAGTAAGCAAAGGCCTAAAAGAGAGAGGGAGTCACATGGACATTTAGGTCAGAGAGAAGTATTGCAGGTAGAAATCACAGTAACTGCCAAGCCCTGGTGCCTGGCCTGACTGAGGAATAATAAATAGCAAGGCAGCCAATGTGGCAGGAGCAGAAAGATGAGGGAGAGAAAGGGAGTGGAGTTGATTAGAGAAGAATCAAAGGAGAGGGGTGAATAAATCCTATGTGGCTTTGAGTAGTCCATGTAATGATTTTTTCCCCAATTTTAAAACTGGGGCATAATTTATATATAGTAAAACCCATCCCTCTAAATGTATAGTTCTGTAAGTTTTGATAAATGCGTATTTATATAACCATCGTCATCAATCAAGATAAAGAATAGTTCTATCACCCCAAACACACACACACACACACACACACACACACACACACACACACACACACACACAGTTCCTCCATTCCTAGCCCTGGCAACTTCTAACCTATTTTGTCTCCAGTCTTGCCTTTTTTAGAATGTTACATAAATATAGTCATAAGTATCATACAAATGGCTTTCTTCATTTAGTGTAATGCATTTGAAATTCATCCATATTGTTGACTATATTGGTAGTTCACGCTTTTATTACTGAGTAGTATTCCATTGAATATACCAGTTTGATTATTCCTTCTTCAGTTGGGAGACACTTGAGTTATGTCTAGTTTTTGGTGACTACAAATACAGCTACTACAAACATTAAGTGCAAATTTTTCTGTGAACATAAATTTTACCGTTACTTGCATTTCACCTGTGCAAATACCTAGGCGTCTGACTGCTGGGTCATATGGTATGCGTATATTTAACTTTATTTTATTTTAATGTTTATTTTTGAGAGAGAGACAAAGCATGAGCAGGGGAGGGGCAGAGAGAGAGAGAGAGGGAAATATAGAATCCAAAGCAGGCTCTAGGCTCTGAGCTGTCAGCACAGAGCCTGACACGGGGTTCAAACTCACAGGCTGTGAGATCATGACCTGAACCAAAGCTAGATGCCCAAATGACTGAGCCACCCAGGTGCCCCTGTACAGTTTCCTCTTGAAGGGGAATCATAAGAAGCATTGCTCTGAGATCCTAGTGCTTGAAAAATCTGGGCACCTTTTGAGACACTGGCCTCTATCTGATGTAATAGATTAAATGAAACTTGTAAACAATCATTTTAGCCCAAGAAAAGCATAGAACATATTTTGTGGTTCATCTTGAGCAAATGTACAGAACCCTATCACATGCATATGGTTAAGTATGCTGGATTGTCTATTGTCAAAATGTTAATCTTACTTTTGGCTTTATTTTCCTTTGTCCTGATTATTTTATCTTTTCTTTCTTCCTTAACCCATTTGAATTGCACATATTTATGTAAGATACTTGAAACTCATTTCGGAAGGAACAAGTAAATATATAAATTAGTAAAATATGGAAATTTTTTTGTCCATTGCTTTCATTCAGAGTAATTTTAAAGCTTTTTTCTTTATCATGGCCAAGGACAAGATAAGAATTCCTAGATTTAGCTGATTTCACTACAATAGCTACCACATAGCAAAATGAGACAAACCAGTTAGGAATTTCACTGTAACCAAGGTGATTTTAATATTCAATACTTCATCTTTCCAAGAGATTTTGAAATACTAGAGATTATTAAAATAATAAAACCATTCTTGTTTTTCAATACAATTATATAGGTTAGGATTTCTGGTTAGAAAGAGAGGCAGTATTACTGTGAAAAGTCAGGTGACTGGGCTTCTAGTACAGATTATGTGTACAACCAGTTGGGTGACCATAGGGAAACTGTATAATCTTCCTGGGTCTCAGTTTCTTTAGAGGTTTCACAATAATACTAGCTTTCCCAAGGAGTTGTTTGTTGTACATGAGTGTGCTGAAATATGTTAATTGGTGCTCCATGAAAAAAAAAGGGTCAAATAAGTCTGGATAAGACTTAATTAAATTAAGATACATAGAAGATAAAAAGTTTCTTCATGGTAGAATTTATAAGAGCCTTTAACTGTGACTCTCTGGGGGAGGGTAGGTAAAGTATGGAGTATTACCTGAACTTGGTTTTTTGGGAGAACATTCATGGACAAGTGCAATAATGACCCATTGTAAAATAGAGTGTCCCACCCTTTCACAGGTTTATACCAGAATGTAGATATTGAAGTATGCTAAAGGATGTTTATGGGGTCTTCTGTAAGAGGACAGGCTTTAACTACACTGGGAAAGAGAACAGATTTTAGTGTGGGGTAGATAAGATAAATCATCAGAAGAAAGTACTCTAGATCCAGAATATGTAGTTAACTGTGTACACCTGACCTTTATCAAGTATCTGGTTGAAGATATACTACTGAGAGAGTGTGCGTACTGTGAAAGAGCATTGAAGAACAAGAGTCCTAAATTTTCAAACTATATTTCTTGAAATAGCCTAAAAGCATACTGACAAACTTGTCTTTTAATTTCTGTGAAACACTGCAAACATGATTCCTATAGACACATGCAATGATATATGACCTTGTATTGGAATGAAGTGAAACAGCATGAGCTGTGGAGTCATAAACACTTGATGAGAATCTCAGCTATTTTTCCATTTATTTTTTTAGTGTTTATTTATTTATTTTGAGAGAAAGAGCACAAGAACAGGAAAGGGGCAGAGAGAGAGAGACAGAGGGAGAGAGAGAATCCCAAGCTGGCTCCGCTCTGTCAGCGCAGAGCCTGGTGCAGGGCTTCAACTCCCAAGCTGTGAGATCACGACCTAAGCTGAAATCAAGAGTTAGATGCTTAACTGACTAAGCCACCCAGGCATCACATTTTTCCATTTCTTTGTGTGACTTCTCAAAGAGTATCAGTTTTCTCATTTGTAAAGAAAAATCTCTAACCTTGTAGTTTATTTTAATGGTCAATGAGTAAGCATATATAAAGCACTTGATACAGAGAAGATGCTCAATAAATCTATCTTCCATTACTTAGAGTTTTCAGTGTACAGAGACTAGGGTTTGGCAGGCGCAGTATCTTGCACATGTGACAGGCACTCAATAATGTGTTTAAACATGAATAAACTTTGATTTCCAAACAGTGAAATATTACACATCTTTTAAGACGTGGCTTAAATATCACTTCTATAGTGTGGCCTAATTCTCAAAGCTGTAAAAGATTTTACTTTGCTAATGAACTTTCTAAGTACTTTGCTTTTACTTCTATGTTATTTAGCATGATTTTCCCTTGATTTGCTGTTACTTGTAGGTATGTTGCATCTTTCCTACCAGATGCAATTTCTTGCAGAAACTGTTTTATTATCTTTTGTTTCTCTTTCAGTGCTTAGCATAGTTCTTGTTCAAAAAACATTTACTGAATAAGTATGAAGTGACGTTCTCTGACCAGGAACGATGACTCATAAGAGTTTTCCTCAGCCCAAGTCAGGGCCCTTCAGGCCTTTCCATCACTTGTTAGATGGCTTCTTCTTTTTATAAGTAAATCTTGCTGTTAATCCCATGTTGAGAAAAAGTTCCAAAAGTCCTATTTTGTGAACTCATCCTAGGAAGTCATTTGACATCCCTTCCTTCTCTTTGTTTCCATTGCACTCTAGGCAAATCTCTAATACAGCTTTTACATAGTTTTGTAATTCTGTTTTTACAAGACAATGAGCTCCTGGTGGGGATGGCCCATGTCTCTATGAGATTTTGGGAATGTACTAAGTATTTAAAAAAATATTTGTAAGATTAGTGAATGAAAAATTCTCTATGTTGTTATGAATATGACACGGGAGGGGCGAATAAGCCATACTAAATGGATTTCTCATATTTAGGGGCCAATGCAAGATGTCACAGAAGTAACTCAGTGTCTTTTGGTGGGGAAGGTGAAGACTGGGAAAGGGGCAGAAAATACAGTTTTGTATTCTTGGGGTGAGACAATATCCAGGAAGGATGGGAGCATCTGTCATGTAAAAAAAGGAAAAGGAATTTCTTGAAAAGAACAGAAAACTAGTATAAGGTCAAGTTTTCTAAGAGTTCCATACACTAGAGCAAGAATAATTCTTTCAAGGAAAGGTTAGGTCTTCCATGCTGAAATGGGTCTGGGGAAAGTGGAAAGAAGTTGTAAGAAATATTAACAGCTTCAGTGTCAAATGCAGTAAAAATAAACCTAGCTTTTGAATAACTTTCCTTAAAATCATCCCCTACCTCACGTTCCTCTTCTTGTTCTTTGCGAATCTGCTCCAAACGAAACTGTTCTGCCATCTCTCTCTCATGAGCTTCCCTCTGTCAATAAAAGAGAAAGGGAGCCAGCATTCAATAACACTGGTTTACTTAAAAAGGAAAAAAACAAAACAAAACAGCTCACTGCCAGCACGGTGATAATAGAAATGTTTCTCTCTGGAACAAGAATGGAAATGAAGCAACAATAAAGCACAGCTCTCTGATCATGCTGAGTACCCATATAAACACCTGCGTAGCTCTGGGTAGTGTGACATTCAAGATCCTTCAGAGGACCTTTCTCTGGTCTTCTTTTCTGCTCTCTCTCCTAAACCCAAATATCAAGTTCTATCTGCATTAGCTTCTATCATGCACACATGCTTTCAGGCTCCTTGCTGTGAGCATATACCACCTCTCGTCTCCTACCCCTTTTCTCTATTCAGTTCACATATTTAACCTCTTTCATGAAACCCTCCCTCAGCAGATTTCCACTTATTAGCTCTCTAAAAAAGCTAGAAAAAACTTTCCACTGAAACTCCTGCTTACTAATCTCTCACAGAACTCATGTTTCAGTGTTTCCCTTATGACTTTTATGATCTTTGCCTAAGTATTACAGCTAACTATGTTTTTGAGTTAATCTATTCTACACCACATTGTGAGTCTTTTGAAGGTAGAACCTGTGGCTTATTTTCTTTCCCCTCCTTCAATGCTCAGTACAGAAGCAGGTACTCAAGAAGTATTAAATAAATCAATGATTTGAACATTGCTCGGTTTTTACTACAACTGGTTTAAAAAAACAAGTAAAATAAATATTAGGCCTATTTTTGTTTTCATTTTTCATGATTGTTAAAAAACTTTGTGTTGTTGAAATGAATCATGCTTTAAGAGCCAAGGGGTAGAATTATATTCTATTATCTGAATCTAGCTTTATCCATTGCAAATCTAACACTGTAATGGATCAAAGTGATAAAAGGGCTGGCACTTAAATAAATAATAAAAGACTATTTAGGATTGAGTTCTTTGTCTCAGAAGCCCCTTGACCAAACCTACCTTGGCTCTGTCAGCCTCAAGTGAAAGGCGATAGGCCTCATCTTGCTCTCTTTTCACATTTTCTCTGGCTTCACGTTCATCCTTAAAAGAAAGGAAAAGATTCAAATGTGCTTTACCATATTATTTTTTTTATAGAAGAAAACAATGATGATCACCTTGTCTTAGTCCTGTGGGAATTTATTAGAATTAAATAAGGCATTTTCAAGTGTATAAGCAAGGTCACAACTGTGTGACCTTGGGCAAGTTATTTAACCTCTCTGGATCTCAGTTTCTTCAATTATAAAATAGAAATAGCATTTGTTTCATAGGGTTGTTGTAAGAATTAAATATAATAACATATAAACTGTCTTTCAAAGCACCTGACAGTTCATTTTCACAATGATTAGTTCCCTTCCCCCTTTCTCCTGATTTTTAAATATAAACTTGGAGTTGTTACCACTGAGGCTAAGAACTGGGAGAGAGTAAAGGACTAGAAAGTAATCCTCTGGTCAGCATAAGAAGAGGCTGAAAGCAAAATACCCTGGTTAACTACAGTCCACATCACACCACTAAAGCTTGGTTATCGAACTAAGTGCTCACAACAACATTCACACTCATGAAGTGTGGATGACTTAGCAGTTATCCAAGGTGAAGATCCTTTAAAACATTTTTAGCTTCTGAAGTGATTGTGCCATCTGCCTACATTTAAATCATTACTTCATATGAAATTAAAAATTAACTCAACTACCAGAATTTCTACATGTACTTAAATTTAATAAATACCCACACCTGTTGACATTAGAATATAGGTTCCCTTTCTGGTCATTTTGTATAATATCTGAATGAATCATATAACGTCACCAATATTTGTATGTTTCTGACCTCTAAAAATGGAAATTTCATATGGTTGAACTTAATACTTTCTAATGTTTTGTCTCCCCAATTCAATATATACTTAGGTGCTCTCACTGATACCTATTTAAGATTGGGCTTCTCTCTGAAGCCTCAATCTCCTTTTAGTTTCAATGATTCAGCTAATTCCAAAATCTCTGATATAAATAGTAACACTTCATTGATTTCCAATCTTTTAAATAAAAAATTTGGAATAATTATAAGTTGCTGGCTAAAGCTAATTGCTATACTATCTCTGATGAAAGGGGATGCTAGGTGATTTATATGGTGGAACACAGTATCAGGAACAATATTTAACCTGAGAGACCCCTCGGGCTGTGAAGCATTCAAGGATAATTTATATGTCATACAAAATTACATATGAATAAAAATGGGTTTTGAACACTTCTACTTGGAGACTTTTACTAAGCAATTAGTAATTATATTTTAAAGAAACAGCATACACATTTAATATGTTTTCACTAATTCCAGCTGGATATTTCCTGCTTTAGTATATATGCTAGGTTTTACTATGACCTAGATAAGATTTATTTTGTGCATTTCTGTTTTTATTAGCATTTCCCTAATTTATTACTCTGTGAACTCCTTCCCCCACCACTCCATATCCAAGTCTGTACACAATGGCCACTTACTAGTTCATTAGTTCTGGCTGATCCATATTTGATACATAATGTATTTATTTTATAAGTTACTGAGGAGAGAAAATAGGAGGATTAGCAGATCTGTGTTCAAATCCAATCCTCACTGGTAGAAAGCTGTCTGTTCTTGGATAAATGATGTCTCCCTTTTCCATTATTTATTAAATTAAAAGACTGAATTTCTAAGGATTTTATGCCTCTGTGGACAAGTCTATCTTTCCAAATTCAGAAATCCCTAATATACTCAATATAACCTACGGGAGTTCAACTTATGTTTCTATATTTCAAATGGGGAAATACTTAAGATGTTTAAAATTTTAAGTTTACATTACTTTCTTGATCCCACTCTTCCAAATTAGTTTAGGTTTCTCTTGAAACAAACATTCTGTGCTGTCCCTTTAAAACCTTTATCGCAATTGCAATTAGTTACCATATAATCATTTACTTAATGTGAGATTTCCCCATGACACTGTGAGCATCATGAAGTCAGGGACCTTATCTATATTACATACCTCTATATTCCAAGTGTTTCACACATTGCATAGTTTTTGGGAGGTGTTTAATAAGCATTTGTTGAACAAAAAAAACTGTCTTTCTAGGCATAAAAAATTTATCGTCTGCAGTAAAAATTAAGGAGGAAGAGAACAGCTTAACCAAAAAGCAACCCCACTTGAGTCAATGAAATCAACTGGCTGGGCAGAAATGACCTGTTATGACACTGTACAGACAACAAAGGGATTTTCTAAAAGCTACCTCAGCTGGAAGCCCTTTGAGCACAAATATAGTTGATAATAAAAGCATTCTAAGTAAACAGCTCTGTTTTAAAAGACTGTTGCAGATATGAAAGGCCATTAAATATAGGGATCTCTGCCACAAAATGTGGCACCTGTTATGAGAGGGCTTCCTGCACCAGCTAACTTGCTTCCTTCTCTCCCCTGTACCCTCCTTTCATATTAGGCATCACACCAGCTCTGGGGATGCAGAGGCAGGCCGCAGGTTAATAGGGGAAGACACAGATAATCTTGCCTGCTTGGATCACCTTCATCATTATTTTGTGAAGAGTTCAGGTTCAAGTTTTGCATTATTTTCTTTCTTTTTGTTTCTTAAATAATGTCATTCTCTTTCTACCTGGAATAGTTCCTCCTCTATTAGCTCTATCATTAAAAATCCTACCAGCTTTTCATAGAAATATAAGAGGGCACCTGGGTGGCTCAGTCAGTTACGTCCGACTTCAGCTCAGATCATGATCTCGCGGTTTGTGAATTTGAGCCTTGCATAGGGCCCTGTGCTGACAGATCAGAGGCTGCAACCTCCTAAGGATCCTGTGTCTCCCTTCGGTCTTTGTGCTCCTCCCCTACTCGTGCTCGGTCTATCTCTGTCTCTCCAAAATAAATAAACGTTAAAAAAAAAAAAAAAGAAATATCAGAGACCAATATGTACAAAAGAGCCACTATATCGGTGAAGAAACTGAAATCACATGAGGATAAAGGATTTATACAATACTACCCATTAAGTCAGTGGCAGAACTTAGACTTGAATCCAGGTCTCCTGACAGCTTCTTCTCCCCGGCCTGCTGAAATCCAATGCTGTTTCCCTTGCTCATAGCCCTCCAGGACTATTACACACAGAAAGGCCAGTTCAGGCATGTGGCTCAGCACAAATTTTTCTAAACTTATCATGGTCAGAACTTCTTATGTGTTTGGTAGTTGCTTGTGAATGGCTATCATTTCCTCTTTTCTGTCTTACACATTTTATACTTGTTTCCCTAACTGCTCTGTTCACTGTCATCTCCAATTTGGAGATTTAAATATCACTGCTTAGGCATCTCCTCATTTATTCTATATGATTAGACTTTTTAAAAAGAAAATTCCAGGTATGGTTAACATTTCATGCACAAATTTGTTCTCATATCTATAGATGTGCCTCTTAGAACTTCTCGTCTGTCCTACAAATATAGTCCTTGCAGAGACTCCCCTTGCTAAATCTGAGTGGACACATTACACAAAGTGACTAGAAATACATGTATATTGTATGGAAGTAGAATAGCTGGTTCAGCAACTGGTCTCAGGTGCTGCTGGGCTAGAGCTTGGGCTACTGGGTTTTAAAATACTCTTTGTCACACCAAAATGTGAAGTGGGATTGCTCAGAACTAAGTGATAGCCTCCACTGGATCCTTTCATCTACAGCATACTCGTCAGTGCTCTCATGCTGCTTTGTGCTACACTCATTTGTATATTTGTCTCACTGTTCCCTACCTTAGCTATAAGTTCCCAGAGGGAACAGACTCCATTTGATATGTCTTTGTATTTCCTATGGCATCTAGGGTACTATCTTAATATGGCAAGCACTAAATATATATCTGTTAGATGAATGAATGTAATTACCAGTGCTCAACAGTTATATACCTCAAGTTCTGGAGTCTCTGAGTATTCTTCAAACTAGTAATTTTTATTTACATGCATTTTGTATTCTGAGTAGTATGATGACTTGTTAAGAAGTATAAGAATTAGAATTTAAACCTAGTCTTTCTCACCCCAAAGCCTATGTGTTTTTCCCACTGTGCCATACTAGGTGGCTTGGTATAGTTCTGAGACAGTAGCCATTAAATCAGATTTTCCTATAAACCATTAAAAATAATGAAAATATTCTGACTTGTCAAATGGTTCCTAAATGAGCTACTTAACCTGAAATGGAATATAGATGTAACTTGTTACTCCTCTGCAGTGTTTAAAATTGGTAATCACCAGTTAAAACCCAAAGCCAAGTGCAAAGTTCTGAATTATCAAGTTGAACCAGGCTATAGTGGTTAGGCTTGTTTCAAATACTTACCAAATAAATACAGAAATACATACATACATATATGGTATTTATCTGTTCTTCTGAATGCCCAGGTCAGAATGTATGCCTTGCTCTTTGCCCTGATAAGTAAAACCTTGTAAACAGGGAAATGGCTCTGGTATGTATCCCTGAAGAGTTATGGACCAGGATACTTTGAAATTCTCTCAATATAACTACTTAAAGATGATAGATAAAATGTAACAAAATTTTTAAAAAGTATTACTCAGAATGTGAGAAAGGAAGAAAGAGAAATACCTGGGTACCAGAAATAAAAAAGAAACTGAAAAATTAGAGCTGTAAATGAGGAGGTAACATGGAACCTGACAAGGTAGATTATGCATTTTGGGAGCCTAGAGGCTCAGTTGGAACCAGAAGATTTTATTTTGGACCCAAATGAGGTAGGGAAATGGAAAGTCATCTATGGGATAACTTTTGGCAGTACAGTGTAAATATAATTGGAGTTAGGAAATAGGTGGCAGGGGGTGAGGGGGAGAAAGCTTATTTTAGGAAATGATGGCCAAAAGTTTTCTGAATTTGGTAACAACTATAAAGCCACAGATCCCAGAATCTACATGAATACTAGGTGAAAAAAACACAAAGAAAGCTACACCCAGGCACATCATAACCAAATTGCACAAAATTAATAATAATAAAAAAATCTTAAATGTACTGGGGAACAAATTAAGAATGAAAGCAGTCGTCTCAGAAATAGTG